CGAGCGGACGGCGCGGAGACAACCTGACCTCAACTCCCTGCTCCTGCTGCCTCTCTGTGTTTCTCTATCGGCCAAAACTCTCCAATTCCTCTGCAATTCCGCATCTTCAGATAGCCAGGCTCGATCGTTCCTGACTCTGACACGGGAAGGTTTGCGGCCAAAACGTTTTGTCTCGAATTGACGGCTCCGTTGTCGAGTTAAACGCATTTTGCTGCTGCACTGATCGCGCTCTCTGAGCTGAGAGCTGACATTATCGTCACTTTTAGACTGAAATCTTAATATCAACAAATACATTGACTTGAATTCTACCTTTGGAGTTTAGTGGGGGAGCAGGGGGATAATCTGAATTGAAAATCTTATTGATTTGAGCAAGAGGGACTCGTAGATCCCACGTTACGAAAGAACGCACAAACACAATTACATTAGACTAACCCGCCCGCCCTTCTCCTAAAGTCTCTTTGACACAATATTCACAGCCACACAATCACAGGCGAGAAATATCACCAAATGTAAATGTGAAAGGATACATTTTCTCCTCCTCTCAGCCTTTGCTCCGATATCCAGGGAGTTAGTTGTAGTTTTTCTCCTCAGTAACTGTTAAACTCTCTGAGGCTTCTGCGCCGGAGATTCGCTCTTCTGCAGATTCAGCAGCAAGAGCCAATCAAATGGTTTGAAGTTATATTGATCGCCCAGATCACTATTTTTCATTCCGGTGACAATACTCAACATCGGTTCTGGGAATCAACAGACATAGAAATATAGATAACAACAACTGGACCTAACCAAACGGCCCATGAAACCTCTCCTCCCACTCATCATGAAAATGGCAGATCATCCAATTCAATAGCCTGTGTCAGTTTTTTTTCTCTCATATGGAGTCATACAGCAAGGATACAAACACTTCAGTCCAACTCGTACATGCCGAATATAATGCCAAACTAAACTAGTTCCACCTACCTGCTCCTGGCCTATTTCCATTCAAAATTGTCATAATTATATACTTATCCAAATGTCGTTTTAATATTGTAATTGTAGCCAGCAAAAAAAACAATTTCGTCCGGAAGTTCATTCCACATGCGTCCATGCTCTCTGTAAAAAAAAAATGCCCCTCGCGTCCTTCTTTTTTATTCTCTTTCCTGTCACATTAAGAATGTCCACCGTGGTCTTCCATTGCCCCCATCCCAGGCAAAAGACAACTACCGTCAACTCTGTCTCATCCCCCTCATTATTTTATAAACTTCTATAAGGTGACCTCTCAACATTCTATGCTCCAGTGAAAAAAAAAGTCCCAGCCTATCCATCCTTTCTTTATAACTCAAACCTTACACACATGGCAAAATACTGGTGAATCTCTTCCGAACCCTCTCCAGCTTAATAATATCTTTCCTCTGACAGTGCAACAAGCACTGGTCACAGTATTCCAGAAGTGCCCTCACCAATGTCCCTTCAACCTCAAAGTGATTTCCCACCTCCCAAACTCAAAGGACTGTGAAATGAAGGCAAGCATGACTTCTTAACCACCCTGTTGAGATGTGATGCAGACTTCATAGAATGCTAGGTCCCTCTGTTCTACAACACTACCCAAGGCCCTATCATTAATTGTACAAGGCCTACCCTTGTATGTTGCACCAAAATGCAAAGCCCTGCATTCATCCAGATTAACTCCATCTGCCATTTTGCAGCCCATTGAGGTATTTGATCAAGATCCATTTGTAATCTTAGGAAACCATCTCCACTTACTGCTGTGCTACCAACTTTGCCATCATCCAGAAACATTTTTACCATGCCTTCTATATTCTCATTCAAATCATTGAAATAATGACAAACAAAAGAGGACCCAGTATCACTCCTGTGGAAAATCACTGGTGACAGGTCTCCAGTCCAAAAAGCAACCCTTCATCGTCACTCTCTGTCTCTTGACATTAAACCAATTACACCTTGATTCCCTTTGGCCACAAGTGCCTCACCCAACTCCTTTTTGAAATCATACAATGCGTTGGACATGGCTAATTTCTGTGGCAGAGAATTCCACAGGCACACCACTCTCTGAATGAAGAAAACTCTCACTTTCTGACCCTAAATGGCCTATCTATCTCCTAAAAATATGACTCCTACCATCAGGAACATTCTTCCTGCATTTATATTGTCTAGGTCTGCCGGTGTCTTATAGCTTTCTAAGAGAATCCTTCATTCTTCTGAATTTAAGCACATATATTCACAAACAATTCAATTTCTCCTTCCATCACAACAATATGCACATTAAAACTGCCTTTATAGTAACACCATCCTTCCTCAGATAAAGAGGTCAGTATTCCAGATGTTGTCTCACACATACCCTGTTAAATCGTGGCAATTCATCCTTTCTCCAGTACTCAAATTCTCTCTCCATGAAGGCCAACATACCAGTTGCCTTCCTCAATGCCTGCTGCACCTGCATGCTTAGTTCAGTGAAAGGTGTATGAGGACACCCACGACTCATTGCAAATTATACTGTTTACATTAATCGGCATTCAAAAAATGAACTGCCTTCCTTTTATTTTGCTACCTTACATTTATCCACATGATATAGTGTCTGAGATGCACGATTCGACTTCTTCACAATCACTGCATCCTCTTTCAGAGCTGACCATCCGACCCAATTTTGTGTCAACAGTATATCTGCAGATAGTACATTCAGTTCCCTCATTTAAATCAGTGTGAGTACATTGTGAAGAGCTTTGATCCTAAAACTGATTCTTGCCATGACCCCTAGTCACTGCTTGTCATTGAGAAAAAGATCAAATCATTCCCTATATGTGTTTCCTCTTATCCAACCGTGTTTTTTTAAGTCATTCTCAAAGCTCTGCACCAATCCCATTTTCTCAATTTTAACATGATAATATCTGATGTGGGATTTTGTTAAAAAATCTTTTATAAATTAAAATTAACACCTCTGCTTTACTCCAGTAGAGTTGTCAGGTTTGGAACATAGAACAGTACAGCAGAGGAACAGGACTTTCAAATCCATACTGTCTCTGTCTGATCCTGACTTTTTATCCAAATTATCTGCAATAAAATTATTTCTTTTCCTGCAGGTTGTCTGGTCTAAAATTCCAAGTTTTTTCTCTACTTTCCTTTTCAAATAGATTGCTTACATTAGCTACCATCTAATCTTTGGAATTTATTGTAGCGCGTATAGAGGTTTGGAACATGACCAGCAATACATCCACCATTTCTAAGGCTACTGTGTTGAGTGCTCTGGGACATAAATTATCAGTCTCTGGTATTTCCCAGCTTTCAATCCTATCAATCTTCACAACATTATTTCCTGAATAATACTGATTTGATTCAGTTGCTCCCTCTCACTAAACTCCGTTTTCCCTAACATTCCTGGCGTGTTTTTTCCTTCCTCATTTGTAAACATAGAACAACAGTAAGTATTCAGTTGGATAACCATTTCCTTAATTCCGCATAATGGATTCCCCTCTTTTTTGATTGTAAGTGACGTATATTTGTTTGTACCAACCTAGTTTTATCTCCATTTTCCTTTTTCATATTTATCAATATATTAACAGTTGTTTTTTAATGGCTTCTGCAAGCTTACTCTTTTCCTAATTTTCTCTTTCGTATTCAAAACATTTTTCCCTTTCTTTCCTGATTTCGAACTGTTCCCCAACTTCAGGGGCTTTTTTTTTCTTTCAAGCTCTTTTTCTTCTCAATTTGTACACCTCTTATTCGGATCAAAAACTGTGTTGAATAGCCCTGTTAAACGACAATTTTGTAAACCGTAAAAAAGAGCATCTTCCGTACTCACGAATCCATCAATTTAAAAGGATTTGGGCAGCTGATGTGGAGGAACACCGCCTTGATATCGGACAAGTTCCCCTCCAAGTCACCCATAATCCGAACTTAGAAATATATCCCTTTTCCTTCACTGTCGCTGGATCAAGACCCTGGAAGTGCCTGCTTACGGCGTTGTGGGCAGTACATGGACTACAACTGTTCTAGAAGGCGGCTCAGCATCACCTTCTCAAGTGGAGCCACTAGCGATGGGCAACCAATGCTGGGACAGGCAGCGACATCCACGTCCCAGGAGTAAGTAAACAAAAAACAGCTGGGTCTTTCGTTGCGGTACCCCGTTCATCACAAGGTTTCTGTCTGCAGCATGCTGAGAATAAAATCAGTCATCTACTCCAAACTAGTATGTACAGCGAGTTCCAGAGATGCGATTACACACCTCTGGTCCGGGTATGACTTTAGGACGGTCCACCTGACCCATAAATAGGGACACTACCACTGCACCGCAAGACTCCTACCAACAGTTACATTCTGCCTTCGGAAGAATGCGCCATTTATTCCCTCACTCTGTATGTTACTTTGACAGAGTTAATATGAGACGAAGGACAGCAGGATCGAATACTGCAGTTAACATGGGATCAGACGTGATGTTATTGAACGGTCGAGTCATTAATAGGGCCGAATGGCCGTCAGCTTCTCCGCTTCCCCATCAGATTGTGAGAGAGCCGGAGGGAGGCAGTTATTAACATGACCCGGGAATGAGCTCCATTGGAGCTTCATCAAGGCCAATGCTCCAGCTTGTAACGTTCTCTGCCCTTTCCCCCACAGCCCCCAGCCGCTTTGCTCAAACTGGGAGTAAAGGGAATTGCGGGAGCCTCTTCTAAGGATGCCGACGCTGAAGAAGTTACGCTCCTCCCTCCGGACAAACCCCAGGGGATCTCTTCTATCCGCCTCCCCTTCTCTCCTTATTTATTTCAGAACCCCCTTCCCCTCCGTCATTTCTGATGAAGGGTCTAGACCCGAAACGTCAGCCTTCCGGCTCCTATGATGCAGCTTGGCCTGCTGTATTCATCCAGCTCTACACCTTGTTATCTCCGAATGACCCATTCACGTTTGTTTCTGGGAATCATTGGGGAAAAAACAGCGCATGCGCAATTCTGGCCCTGCCCCCAAAGCTCCTTGCTGCTGACTGGAGGAGCGCATGCGTGAGGCCCTCTCCCAGCGCTGCCATTGAGGAGCAATTACTTAGTCAGTGGAAGAGGTTTGTTTGAAACAGGCCGCAATGGAGAGACCAGCGCCCAGGGAAGCGAGGGAACAGCAGGCTCCTTCCAGCAGCACGTCGAGATGTGAGCTTGGGCCACAGAGCAGGGTTCCGAGACCGGCATTGATTCGGGCTCAGTTCAGGGAGAACCGGGGGCTGTTGGTAAGAGGCCGAACGGGGCCGGAACAGGTCCTGGAACTTGGAATGAGCGGCCTTGGCGAGGGGGCGAGGGGTCGAGGGGAGAGGAGAGAGAGAGAGAGAGGCCTTTCTCGGGCTGTGTGTGGGCCTGCTGAGGGAGACATAGCGGCAAGAAGCTGCTGGGGGTCATTGTTCTGGCTTTTGATTCTCTGAACACTGATGGAAGTTAATCGTTTAGCTTCTGTTTCACGTTGTTTGTTGCGAATTGGCATTGAATCGTGAAAGCACTTCATACAAATATGCTAATCCTGTAAAGGATAAATATAGTAGTCGCCGGGTTAAGAGGCTCAAGTAAAATATTTGAAGTAGTGCCTGTTGTTTTTCCCTTCATTAGTTAGTGCATTGGGAGCTGGGTATTGCACTGTGGAAGCATTCCATTCATGGAACCGTACAGTTGTTGGTTAGTTTTGTATCTTAGTAAATTGTTTTAGAATTTCTCAGAAAAGAATGCGACGAGGAGGAGCTCAGGGTAATTATGGAACTAGACCCTTCTCTGTTCAAATTGCTAGCTTTAAAACAAGACATTATCATGAGTATTAACTAAATTTTGCACTAATCAGTATTGATATTTTCAAACTTGGATGTTGATTTATAGGAGAATTCTCTTTTGTCTTCTTCCAGACAAATATTTGATGGGCCAAGATAATGTAATATTTCCGTGGTACAGCACCAAGTGTGACCAGCTGCTCTTACCAAACAGCAGGTATGTTCGCACTGTCGGAGCGGAGAATGTCCTTTCCATGGTCACAGAGCTGATTGAGTAAGACTTGCATTGAGTTCAATTTCTGGAGATATACATTCAATCCAAGGGTCAAACACCACCAACAAAATATAAATGTATCATGTTTTTTTTCTCTCTAAACTAGCACAGTTCCAGGAAAGTTCATTTTTGAAAGCCTATTGTCATTCACAGCATTTGAAAAGGGATAGATTGAATCTCCTTCACAAATATGCACTCAATAACTGTATTGAATGCACGTTAAACAAGGCCATTTTTAAAGTTACAATCAAAGTATTCAAATAGATCAAGCTGTTACATAGTTACAATGAACATATATGAAGTTGATATTGAGTACAGACATAGTAGGAAACTTTTGAGTATTTGAGTACCTGATCTGTATGGATTAAAAACCTTAATAACTACTCTTTCAGACTCTCATAACTGAAACTGCCGGATACAGATTGATAACTAAACACTCACGTAGCAAAACAGTGTCATGGACAGACTGATCATTTCAGAAACATATTCACTGAATAGAAACTGACAGGAAGAGAATGATAAATATACTCAGGTTCCCACATACCAGAAATTTACAGGAACAGGTTGATAACTACAGTCATCTTCTCCCCACGGCAGAAAATGACAGAGACAGGTTGATAACTACAGTCACACATTCATATTACAGTAACTTTCAGGGACAGATTCATGACACTCACAGGTTGACATGACAGAAACTTGACAGATAACTACACTCCCTTATTTACATTGCACATACCAACAGGAACAGGCTGACAACTGCACTTCCATATTTGCATGTCAGAAAGTGTCAGTTACAGATTGATAATTGTGCTCAAATAGTCACCTGGCAGAAACTACCATTAGATCGATAACTAAACTCAAATATTGTAATAGCAGAAACTATAGAGATTGAAAATGACACTCAGTCACAGAGCTTAAAACAAAAACTGATAGGTCCAGATTGATATTGGGCTCACGTTCACATTGCATAAATTGGCAGGGAGAGAATCATAATTGTTCAAACATTCATGTCACAGAAAATGACAGGTACTGACTAACAACTACACTGTCATATTTGCAGCGCAAAATCTGACAGGGACAGATTGGTAAATACACTCTCACATTCACATAGCAGTGACTGTCTGAGAAAAAATTGATAACTGCACTCTCGTATTCACAATACAGAAACTGACAGGAACAAATTAATGATAACTCTCCCAGTTTCACAGAATATTAACTGACACACATAAACCTAACAAATTGTCAGGTATAGATTGATTACTGAACTCTCATTCACATAGCAGAGACTGACAAGTTAAGACTGATGATGACAGTTATATATTTACATAGCAGGAACTGACAGGCATAGATGGATAACTACACTCACATTTTAACATAGCGGAAACTGAGAGGCATAGATTGGTAACTGCGTTTGTGTATTTTCATAGCTGAAACTAGCAGGTACAGATAGATGACTACACTCCCATCCTTTGCATATCAGAAACTGTTGGGAACAGATTGATAACTGCGCTCAAATATTGACACAGCAGAAGCTGACAGTTCCTGTTTGACATTCAAACTCTCACATTCACATACCAGAAAATGGCAGGTAAAAATTGATAACCAAACTCACATGCGCACATCAAAGAAACTGAGAGGGAAAGACTGATAAAAGCAATCAGACATTCACATAGCAGAGCCTGGCAGCAACAGAGTGATAACTAAACTCTCACATTCTTACAACAGAAACTGCCATGGATGGACTGAAAATTTATTCATCAAGCATAACCTGACAGGTACAGAATGATAACTGCTGCCAAACATTCACAGAGCACAAATAAACATAACCAGATTGGCAAATTAGTTATCATTTTCACATGACAGGAAACTGACAGGGATAAATTAGGAAAAAACACTCATATATTCACGTAGCAAAGACTGATAGGGACAGAATGGTAACTACAATTACACATTCACACACCAGAATATTTCAGGGATAGACTGATAAATGTACAAACAAACTCACCAAGGAAAAACTGACAGTTACAGATTTAGAACCACACTTTCATTTTCACAAAGTTAAAACTGGCAGGTACAGTGTGATAACTGCACAAAAATATTCACAGAACAAAATCTCCCAGCTACAGTGTGATAACTACACTCACATCTGCCCAGCAGAAACAACAAGTTTAATAACTAAATCTAGATATTGACGGAGCAGAAATTGATTGGTTCAGATTAATGACTGCACTCTTACGTTGATACAGCAGAATGGACATGTAGGGACTGGTAACAAGTCTCAAGCATTCTCCTAGTAGAAACAGGCATAAATTGAGAACTGCACTCACATATTCACATAGAACAAACTGAACGGTACAGACTAATAACGTCATGCATTTGAACAGCAGAAATTGACACACATGAGAAAAGAAGGTGAAGCTGAGTTATTGAGGGATATTGAGGCTCTGGTCAGGAAAACAAAAAAGAAGCCATACATTGTTTTTAAGCTATTGGGCTTAAGTGAATCCCTGGATAACAATAAAAAGTGTAGGAGCATACTTAAGCGGGAAATCAAAAGAGCAAAAAGAGGGTATGAGATGGATCTGGCAGATAAGGTTAAAGATAATCCCAAGCAGTTCTATAGCTATATTAAGAGTAAAAGGGAAGCGAGGGAGAGAATAGGTCCCCTTAAAAATCAGCATGGCAGCCTACGTATAGAGCCCCAGGAAATGGGGAATTTTAATGGTTATTTCTCCTCCATGTTTACTGAGGATAGAATCATGGATGCCAAGGAAATAAGGTAAAGAAGTGAAGATATTTTGCACCGCATACATATTACCATAGAGGTGGTGTTTGCAGCCTTCAGGTGGATGAATTACCTGTGCCTGACCATTCTCGGATGTTGTGGAAGGCTAGGCAAGAAAGTGCAGAGGCCCTTGCAGAGATTTTTGCTTCATGTGTAGCCACTGGTGAAGTTCAGGAAGACTGGAGGGTGGCTCATATTGTTCTATTTAAGAAAGGTAGCAAAGACAAGGCAGGGAACTAGAGGCCAGTGAGCCTGGTATCAGTGGTGGGCAGGTTATTGGAGAGGATACTCAGGGACAGGATCTTCCAACATTTGGACAGTCAAGGTCTGATTAGAAATAGTCAGCATGCATTTGTGCGTGGGAAGTCATGCCTGACAAATCTTTTAGAGCTTTTTGAAGAGGTAACCAAATGGATAGATGAGGGTAGGGCTGTGGATGTTGTCTATATGGACTTTAGTAAGGCCTTTGACAAGGTCCTGCATGGCAGGCTAGTAATAAGGATTGGAGCAGCGGGAATGCGAGCCAGGGTGCTGACGGGAAGGTAAGATTTTTCTTTTCCTTTTTAAAAACTTACCTCGTGCAGCAGCGACCTTCTTGTTTGGAGCAGCGGGTGTGTCTGCAGAGAACGCGAACCAGGTAGGAACTAATATATTCGGGCATTGGCTAAGGTAAGGCTTTTTTTTATTCTTCTGGAAATCTAGAGTAGAGGGAATCAAAGCTAGGGCAGTTACATGCTCCTCTTGCAGGATGTGGGAGGTAAGGGTCACTGCTGGAATGACCAGAGAAAGGGTAGGGCTGATCGAGGATTGTAAAGGGAATTTGTGCACAGACCCTAAAGAGATAGGAAAGGTCCTTAATGAATACTTTTTTTCAGTATTCACAACTGAGAGGGATTTGGTTGTGGAGGAGGACAGTGTGAAACAGTCTGGTAGGCTAGAGGAGGTCGACGTTAGTAAGGAAGATGTACTAGGGATTTTGAGGAACTTGAAGATAGATAAGTCCCCCGGGCCTGACCGAATTTATCCAAGGATTCTACGGGAAGTGAGGGAAGAGATCACAGGGCCTTTGGCGATGGTCTTTTTGTCCTCACTGTCCACGGGTATAGTGCCAGAAGGTTGGAGAGAGGCAAACGTCATTCCCTTGATCAAAAAAGGGAATAAGGATAACCCCGGAAATTACAGGCCAGTCAGTCTTACGTCAGTGGTGGGCAAGTTATTGGTAAGGGCTCTGAGAGATAGGATTTATGTTCACTTGGAAAGGCACAGTTTGATTCGTGATCGTCAGCATGAATTTGTGAGGGGTAGATCATGCCTCACAAACATTACTGAATTCTTTGAAGAGGTGACCAAACACATAGTTGAAGGTAGAGCAGTGGATGTGGTACATATGGATTTAAGTAAGGCATTTGATAATGTTCCCCATGGTAAGCTCATGCAGAAGGTAAGGAGGCATGGGATAGGGGGAAATGTGGCAGATTGGATTCAGAATAGGCTGACCCTGAGAAGACAAAGGGTGGTAGTGCACAGAAAATATTCAACATGCTGCTCGGTTACGAGTGGTGTACCATAAGGATCTGTTTTGGGTCCTCTTCTATTTGTGATTTTCGTAAATGATTTAGATGAAGGAGTGGAAGGGTGGTTTAGTAAGTTCGTGGACGATACGAGGGTGGGTCGTGTTGTGGATAGTGCGGAGGGCTGCTCTAGGTTACAAAGGGACATTGATTGGGTGCAGAGCTGGGGTGAGAAGTGACAGATGGTGTGAGGTGATTCATTTTGGAAGGACAAACTTGAAAGCAGAATACAGGGTTAACAGAAAGATTCTTGGCAGTGTGGAGGAGCAGTGGGATCTTGGGGTTCATGTCCACAGTTCCCTGAAAGCTGCCACACAGGTGGATAGAGTTGTTCAGAAGGCGTATGGTGTGGTAGCTTTCGTTAATGGAGGGATTGAGTTCAAGAGGCGTGAAGTTATGCTCCAGCTATACAAAATCCTGGTTTGGCCACATCTGGAGCATTGTGTCCAGTTCTGGTCGCCCTATTACAGGAAAGACTTGGAAGCATTGGAAAAGGTGCAGGGGAGATTTACCGGGATGTTGCCTGGAATGGAGGGAAGGTCTTATGAGGAAAGGTTGAGACAGCTAAGGCTTTTCTCTTTTGAACGGCAGAGGTTGATAGGTGACTTGATAGAGGTATACAAAATGATCAGAGGTATAGATAGAGTGGACAGCCAGAGACTTTTTCCTGGGGTGGAGGTAGCTATTACGAGGGGGCATAGTTTTAAAGTGAGTGGAGGTAGATATAGGGCTGACATCAGAGAGTGGTCGGGGTGTGGAATGCATTGCCGGAGAGGGTAGTGGAGTCGGCCTCATTAGGGGCATTTAATCGGCTATTAGACAGGCACATGGATGATAGTATAAGGTGGGGGTGCAGGTTAGATAGACCTTAGGATTAGGGTAAATGTTTGGCACAATATTGTGGGCCGAAGGGCCTGTACTGTGCTGTATTGTTCTATGTTCTAATGTTAGGTTGCATGGGATCCAGGGAAAGCTAGCTAATTGGATTAAAAATTGGCTTGATGGTCGGAAGCAGAGGATGATGGTTGAAGGTTGTTTCTTGGACTGGAGGCCTGTGACTTGTGGTGTGCCACAAGGGTCGGTGCTGTGACCTTTGTTATTTGTTATTAACATAAATGTTCCGGATGTGAATGCACAAGGCATGATTAGTAAATTTGCGGATGATGCAAAATTCGAAGGTATCATCGATAGTGAGGAATGTTATCAAAAATTAGAGGGATCTTGATCAGATGGAGAAGTGGGCTGAGGATTGAAAAATGCACTTCAATACAAATAAGTGTGAGGTGTTACACCTTGGAAAGTCAAACCAAAGTAGGCCTTATACAGTAAATGGTAATGTCCTGAGGAGTGTTGTGAAACAGAGGGACCGAGGAGTACAAGTACGTAGTTCGTTGAAAGCGGCGTCACAGGTGGATAAGGTCCTGAAAAAGGCATTTGGCGTGTGAGCCTTCATTGATTGAGGCATTGAGTATAGGACTTGGGACATTATTTGACAGTTGTATAAGTCAGTGGTGCGACCACACTTGGAGTTTTGTGTACAGTTTTGGTCGCCCGATTATAGAAAAGAAATAGTTCAACTGGAAAGCGTTCAAAGAAGATTTACGCAGGACTGGTGGGCCTGAGTTATGGGGAGAGTTTGATCAAAATAGGACTTTATTTCTTGGAACGTAGGGGAATGAGCTGTGACCTTATTGAGGTGTATAAAATCATGAGGGGCATAGATAGGCTAAATGCATCTAGTGTTTTTTGCCCAGGGATGGGCAATTGAAAACTGGAGGACATAGGTTTCAGGTGAGAGTACAAGGATTTAAGAAGAACCTGAGGGGCAACTTCTTCATGCAGAGAGTGGTGCACAAGTGGAATAGGCTGCCAGAGAAAGTGGTTGAGGCAGGTACAATAGCAACATCTAATAAAACATTTGAATAGGTACATGGTTGGGAAGAGTTTAGAGGGAGATGGACCAAATGTGGGCAATTGGAACTCACTGAGTGGGCACCATGGTCAGCATGAACCAGTTTGGGTTCAAGAGCCTTTGTCCATGCTGTATTACTGTGTGACCCTGTGACCTCAAACTACAATGGGACCTTGACCAAAAGGACCAATGGGCTGGGGAGTGGCAGCTGGAGATTAATCTTGAAAAATGTGAGGTGCGACAAGTTGTGAGGGAAAATCAGGGCAGGACTTGCACACTTAACGGTAAGCTCCAGGGAAGTGTTGCCAAGCCAAGAGGCCTTGGAGTGCAGGTTCATAGCTCGTTCAAAGTGGAATTACAGGTACATAGGGCAGTGAGGAAGGTGTTTGATTGGTCAGTGCATTGAGTGTATAGATTGGGAGGTCATGTGGCTGCACAAAACATAGGTTAGGCCACTTTTTGAACACTGTATTCAATTCTGGTCTCTCCTTGCTATAAGAAAGATGTTGTTGAACTTGAAACAGTTTAGAAAAGGTTTACAAGGATGTTGCCGGGGCTGGAGAGTTTGAGCTGTGGGGAGAGACTGAATAGGCAGTTCTTTATTTATTCCTGAATCAGCAGTTTTATATTTCCTTGGTGTGTCGGAGGCTGAGTGGTGACCTCATCGATATTTATAAAATTATGAGGTGCATGGATAGGGTGAACAATCAAGATCTTCTCCCCAGGGTGGAAGAATCCAAAACTACAGGACATGGGTTTAAGGTGAGGGGGAAAGTTTTAAGAGGAATTGAAGGGGCAACGTTTACACACACTGCGTGGTGTGTTTATGGATTGAATGTCATAAGAAGTGGCGGAGGCTGATAAAACTACAACATTTAAAAGGCTTCTTGATGAGTAAATGAAAAGGAAGGGCTTAGAGGGATATGTACCTAATGCTAGCAAGTGGGACTAGATTAATCTAGGATATCTGGTTCCTATGGATGAGGTGAACCCGAGGGTCTGTTAACATGTTGGACCTCTCTATGATTGTATGACAGGACCAGATTGTGAGAGAATAATAATCTTTCACACTGAATAAACAGACAGACCGATAACTGCACTCCCATTTTCACATTGCAGAAATTGACAGATATTCGGCAAAGTGTCCCTCAGTAAACCTGAATGTCTTAACAGTACAATGTTGCTCACAGCGTAATAAGGAAATCTCAGATAGTGATGAAACAAAATAATATTTTACACACAAAAGATTGTCATGAGCAGAATAAAACACATTGTCACAATTAAAATCTCACAGGTACTGTGTTTAAAATATCATTAAATGACAATAATCAGTTCAATTTAGAGTGAGTTCGGAGTTTGATCCATGTATAAAATTTTGGTTTGCGTTTCACATTTCGTTGCAGATCCTGACAGATCCTCGTTGTGTCCCACACTCACCATTCGGAGAGAGACTAAATGTCATGTATTGACATTGTTGTAAACTACCCAATCAGGAACAAGGCTTTCCCCCATCCTTCATTAGCATTGCTGACGCCGTCAGGCTATAAAAAGCGAGCTCCGAGCCCTATCCTTTTTTCTGTGTCTGAAAGTGACCGTCACTATGGCTGATGAGAAGAAAGCGCAGCCAACTTCCAAGAAGGGCGCGAAGAAAATCATCAAGAAGGCGCCAAGCAAAGGCAGCAAGAAAAGGAAACGATCCAGGAAAGAAAGTTACTCCATCTACATCTACAAAGTGATGAAGCAGGTTCACCCCGACACCGGCATCTCCTCCAAGGCCATGAGCATCATGAACTCGTTCGTCAACGATATTTTCGAGCGTATCGCGGGGGAGGCTTCCCGCCTGGCCCATTACAACAAGCGCAGCACCATCAGCTCCCGGGAAATTCAGACCGCCGTGCGGCTGCTGCTGCCCGGGGAGCTGGCCAAGCACGCCGTGTCGGAGGGTACAAAGGCGGTGACCAAGTACACCAGCTCCAAGTGAGACACCACGTTGTGCTGAAAAAAAAAACACAACCAAAACCCAACGGCTCTTTTAAGAGCCACCCACAATTTCACTGAAGCAGATGAACCATTTTAAGTTTGTAATTGATTTTGGGCCTGTATAATTGATGTCCCTAAGCTTTGTGTTTCTTTTTATAAACGTTCTAAAGATTAACGTGTGGTCCCTGACTCTCTGTCCTTTATTCTCGGTTGCGGACATACCCAGTCTCTTTACTTTGCCTGGATATGTATCGCCAAAGTCATTTTTCAGCAACTTCTATATGTTCCAGTTCCTCTTTAATCCGTGATCAGGGCAGCAGCTACAGTGCCCCGTAGGGTATGATACTTGAGTTTCACCCCCGGGGGAACTAAACAAACTGATCTAAACTAACTGTTCGAGTCTCATGAATAGATTTTGCAGTTTACTCCTTTCTTTTTCAATTTTCAAATCTCCATGGAGGCTTGGTCTGATTTTTGTGGAATGCTGTAAATGAGGTTTTCAGCTGTCGGTGAGAGGCTTTCAAAATGAACGGCGACAAAGCCAGAATAGCTGCCGGATTGCGATACCAAGTGTGAAACTGTGGCTGAAGTCTGATCAAGGACAAGACGGGAGGGCAACTTCAAACTGTTGTTTAAAGATTTAACACGTTCACCCGGAACAACGTTGTTTGTGGTTTTATAAATATATCACGGTGCACTTGTAATGTGAAAGTGAATTAAATTCAAAGAAAAATTAAATTATTCATTCCTCTTTGTAAAACTTTTTCCTATTTCGTACATGTTGGAGGTTTTTCAAACTTGTCCCGGTGAGGTAGAAAGCCTGAATATCTCCCGTGGCAACGAAAAAAAAATGACTGTGCGATTTCTGGGTTGTTAAAATTTCCAAATCTCTATGTGCATTTGTCCGATTTTTTTTTTTTCAGAATGCAGAATGTGGGGCTTTCTGTTGTCGCGGAGAGGCTTTCAAAATGAACTGAGATCAACGGGAAAGTCTGATCCAGCACAATAAGTGAGGGCCACTTTACAAAATTGTCTGAAGACGGTGTTGCTTCGGGAGTGAGAACGAGAGATTGTGTGAAGTGCGCATTTGTAATGTGAAAGGAAATTAAATCGTAAGCATTTATGCACTATTCTTTGTAAAACGTCTTCCTCGTATTGTCCATATTGGCGGGCTTTTCAAATCGGAAAGAAAACGTACTGGCATCGCAAATGTGGAAATATATTGTTGATCTGGTGCAATAGGGAGGGTGATTGTGAAATATTGTTTAAAGCAGTACTACGCTCACCCAGAAAGAAATAGTGGTGTGATACTTTTATTGATATATCCGGGTACCGATGTGAATTAAAATCAATTTTCAGCGGGTTCTTTCTTTTTGCTTCCGCTTATTCTTAAGGTTCAGGGAAATAAAAACAGCAAGATCAGAAATAGACAGATTCAACTCGGCCAGGGAACGAGACAGAGATTGTGTGAAGTATGAAGGTATATCCTAAAAGTAAATTATCTGAAGTATGAACGTATTCTTTGTAAAACTGTTTTATATATTTTGGCGGGCTTTTCAAATCAGAAAGAAAGCGGTTGATGATATTTTCCGGCCTCCGCCCCGGGCCATCTCCGGATTGGTGAGTGAAGCAGATATCTGATTGGGAATTGAAACTATATTAGGCTATGCTGAACAATGTGACCAATCAGCAATGGCCGCACCCCCATTCCTCCCGAAGGTATAAGAGGGCGGATTGTGGGCGCGTTGCATCATTCTCTGTGAAAATGCGTCTAAGATTGTTGCAATGTCTGGGAGAGGAAAGGGTGCTGGTGGGAAAGTTCGCTCCAAGGCGAAGTCCCGGTCGTCCCGGGCTGGCCTGCAGTTCCCGGTGGGCCGTGTTCACAGGCTCCTGAGAAAGGGTAACTATGCTGAGCGTGTGGGTGCCGGAGCGCCGGTCTATCTGGCTGCGGTGCTCGAGTATCTGACGGCTGAAATCTTCGAGCTGGCCGGTAACGCGGCCTGGGACAACAAGAAGACCCGCATCATCTCCGGGCACCTCCAGCTGGCCGTGCGCAACGACGAGGAGCTCAACAAGCTGCTGGGAGGGGTGACCATCGCTCAGGGTGGGGTGCTGCCTAATATCCAGGCCGTGCTGCTGCCCAAGAAAACCGCCGCTGGGGGCGCCACTAAAAAGTGAAAATACCAGGATTAAATCTGACAACCCAAAGGCTCTTTTAAGAGCCACCCACCGCGTCTGTGAAAGAAACTCAATTCTCACCACTGCCGAGTTAATTTTAATTTCCTTTGTATTGCTGAGAGACCAGTAACACAATATTTACCCTTCCATTATTGTGATTGTTAATGAGCTATAATCGCCTGGACGGAATGTATCCATGCGGCAGCTTCCTGTAATTGCATTGGAAAGATCTGATACTGGTGGAGGAACACTAATAAATTTAGAAATTGGGAAATAATGACCCCGGTAGCCGCAATGCGATTCAGCGCAACAAGGTGTGGAGCTGGATGAACACCGCAGGCCAAGCAGCATCAGAGGAGCAGGAAGGCTGACGTTTCGGGCCTAGACCCTTCTTCAGAAAAATCCTGCTCCTCTGATGCTGCTTGGCCTGCTGTGTTCATCCAGCGGCACACCTTGTTCTCTCAGATTCTCCAGCATCTGCAGTTCCTACTATCAATGAATCGCTTCAGTATCTCTTGACATGATGTTTTCGACCAGATAAAACTATTTGCAAGACAACAAGGTGCAAGGCTGGATGAACACAGCAGGCCAAGCAGCATCATAGGAGCAGAGAGGCTGACGTTTCGGGCCTGGACCCTTCATCAGAAAAGGGGGAGGGGAAGGGGGTTTTGAAATAAATAGGGAGAGAGTGGGAGGCGGAAAGAAGAGGGATGGAGGAGAGGATAGGTGGAGAAGAAACAAACAGGTCGAAGAGGCGGGGATGGGGCCAGGAAAGGTGAGTGTAGGTAGGGAGTTAGGAAGGGGATAGGTCAGTCCAGGGAGGACGGACAGGTCAAGGGGGCGGGATGAGGTAGGTCGGTAGGAGATGGAGGTGCGGCTTGAGGTGGGAGGAGGGGATAGGTGGGAGGACCTATCCGCTTTGCAGAACACCTACGCTCGGTTCGCAACAAACAACTGCACCTCCCAGTCGCGAACCATTTCAACTCCCCCTCCCATTCCTCAGACGACATGTCCATCCTGGGCCTCCTGCAGTGCCACAACGATGCCACCCGAAGGTTGCAGGAACAGCAACTCATATTCCGCTTGGGAACCCTGCAGCCCAATGGTATCAATGTGGATTTCACAAGCTTCAAAATCTCCCCTCCCCCTACCGCATCCCAAAACCAGTCCAGCTCGTCTCCGCCTCCCTAACCTGTTCTTCCTCCCACCTATCCCCTCCTCCCACCTCAAGCCGCACCTCCATCTCCTACCGACCAACCTCATCCCGCCCCCTTGACCTGTCCATCCTCCCTGGACTGACCTATCCGCTTCCTAACTCCCTACCTACACTCACCTTTACTGGCTCCATTCCCGCCTCTTCGACCTGTTTGTTTCCTCTCCACCTATCCTCTCCTCTATCCCTCTTCTATCTGCCTCCCACTCTCTCCCTATTTATTTCAAAACCCCCTTCCCCTCCCCCTTTTCTGATGAAGGGTCGAGGCCCGAAACGTCAGCCTCTCTGCTCCTATGATGCTGCTTGGCCTGCTGTGTTCATCCAGCCCTACACCTTGTTGTCTCGAATGCTCCTCAATGGCAGCTTTGGGGGCAGGGCCAGCATCGCGCATGCGCTGCTTTTCGCAATGATTCCCAGAAACAAACATCAATGACTCCCTTTACTCCCAGTTTGAGAAAAGCAATTGGGGACCGTGGGGATACCACAACACTTCTGACATGAATGTTGGAGATGGTGGACAGGTTTCAGGCAGTCAGGAGGTAAATTACTTGCTGCAGTATTTGCGGCCTTTGACCTGCTCTTGCAGCCACTGTATTTGTATGGCGAGTCCTGTTCAATTTGTGGTTCATGGTAACTCCCAAGATGTTGTTAGTGGAGGATACAGTAATGCTGAAGTGAAGGAGTCGTGGTCAGATTGTCACTCATTTGAGATGGACAGTGTCAATTATTTCTGTGGTTTGAATTTACCTTGTTGTTTTCCTGCCCAGGCCAGGATACTGTTGACATCTTGTTGAACTCGGACGTGGTTTGCTTCAGTGCTTGAGGAATCACAAATGGACGTGTAGGTTGTGCAATCGTTGGCCAATATCCCACTTCTGACCTTATGATGGAGTGAGGGTCATTGACGAAGCAGCTGAAGATGTTTCGGCATAGGACACTACCCTGAGGAACACCTGCAGAGATGTGCTGGAACCATGACGACTGAACTGCAACAAGCACAACCACAACCAGCAGTGAGATCTCTCCTGACTCTGATTGGCTTCAGTTTCTCTGGAGCTCGGTAATGCAAAACTTGATCAGATATAGTCTTAATGTCAAGCACAGTCATTCTCACCTCATCTCTGTGATTCAGCTCTTTTCTCCATGTTTGAACAAAAGCTAGAGTGAATCCAGGAGCTGAGTGGCCTTGATGGAACATAAACTGAGGATCAGCGAGCAGGTCATTGGCGAATAGGTGCTGCTTGAAACCCATAAGTATCCATGGTTTGAGAACTAGTGTATTATTACCAAATTTGCAGATGATGAAAAACTAAGTATGATGTGGGAAAATGTCAAACATTTTCAGGAGGATTTGAAGAGGCTGAGTTATTGGGCAAGATCATAGCAGATGGAATATATGTGGAAAATGGTAAGGTCATGCTCTTTTGTTGGAGAAACAGATATGCAGATTAACTTCAACATGATGAGAGGTTGAAAGTGTAGCTTTACAAATGTCTTTGGGTGTCCTTGTCAATAGGTCATTGAAGGCAAAAGTGCTGGTGTGCAAGTTGTTAGGAAGGTTAATGGAATGTAATCCATTAATAAAAGAAGATTTGAGTGCAGGAGTAGTGAAGTCTTGCTTCAATTCCATCAGAAGCTGTTTAGATTGCACCGAGAATAGTGATCCATTTTTTGGTTTCCTTATTCACAAGAAAAGATACAGTTGCCATATTGAGAGGGAAATGACAGTTCACAGCGTTGGGAGAGAGTTTCAGAAACTGGATCTGTATTTTGTAGTTTTGATGAAT